CTGGGAGCAGCCTGGCTCACACCTGCTGAAAGCCACGGAGTGGTCAGCTGCCTTGGAAAAGGCAGAAGAGGAAGAAAGTGCCTTCTCTAATGTTAGCTCTTTAAAATGCTCCACTTGTTTTTTCCAGTCCTGCTATCTAAGCAGAATCCGCCTCTTCCTTTTTCAAAACTACAGCGTCTTCAGCATGTCCTGCTGCTCAATTTTCAGGCTGTGTGACAGCGTAACACACAAGACTTCGTGCAACTGCACTTCACAGAAAGGCATGCCTAATATACTGCATTAAAATGACATCACTTAGAAACGACCTCAGGACGCAGGACTCTGAAGATGAGGTGTCTGAGGCATGTGGGAAGGAAATGAGTAAAGCTGAAGTCTTTTGAAGACACTCTTGGGACATGCTCACTACTGGTACAACACAAACAACACTGCACCAGGGTACAGCCTGTACAGCACCTCAGCCACTGGCACTTAAAGGCTGCGCATCGATGGGGCCGGCTACTCCCTCCTTAGCCTAAGTCAGACATGTATGCTCTGGTGAGTTACTATGGTGATGGGCACCATCAAAAATAAAGAGCAGTGTGCTGAGAAGCAAGCAGAACCCTACGCACACCCTAACTCCTGGAACCTGGTTTATGACTGAACATCAGAGACTGACTTTGCCACAGGCTAGGTATGTATCTGTGCAGATAAATTCAGACGTTCATCTTGCGCACATACCTGCCCTTTCTCTGGCTGCCAGTTTCAGTTAGCACAGGCACGCAAATAGCGGGTGACATCGCTGAGCGACCACACCAGGATACTCGCAACTCAATTCTCCCAAAAACAGAGCAACGCTCCTTCCCGCAAAGAATACCCTTGCAAAAGCAGGACGTGTCTACCTTTGCACCCACACGTTTTCCCTTGAGCTGCCGCAAAGTGACTGTAACCCCAGCAAGAAAGAGTCTCATTGCTGGTCCGCGACTCTGTGACTTGCAATACGCTAACACTGTGTGTATGGCTAAAATAAAGGCTCCCGCCTATGGAAACTGAAGGACCATCCAACCTTTTGCTGTTCTAATCCAGTAGTCACATGGAGACACACAAGGCACACAAACACAGAGAAAAATTAAACTAGGTCTTAATTTTATCATCTTTTTTTCTTTGATGTAGCATTGCTAAGCTTCCTATCACCATTACTGATGCCAAATGCTTTGCAGGGGCTTTCTGTGTACAGAGACTTCAACCCTGGCTCACACTGAAAGGCTTATACAAAATTATTATTGGTTGATGTGTGTTTCCTTCAGTCACCAGCCTCACTTCAATTTTTAACATGCAACACAATATATGCTGCTCCCACAGCCAAGGAGCAATGACCAGCAGCAGGCTCGCTGCGGCATACTTCTTCCCAGAGCTCTCGTCAGATCGTGCCGCCAGAGGGCAATGCACACCCAGCATAAATATAGACTCAAACGCAGGGCTGCGACGGGAACTGTCCTCTTCTGGACAGGAGAAAAACAACTAGCGATGGGGTCTAAAGACAGCTATTACACATGTGAGTGCCTCACGGGAACTCTGTTTTCACAAATTCAATTACATCCAGAGATTCGCATCTAGTTGCAGGAGACCAAAGCACAATGACCGTGCTGCCTTCTCGGCGATGCTTCCTCAGCAGACCGTGAGGTGGAGCAGTTTTATTCCGACGAGGGCCCTCTATCAGCCCAGCATCCATCTGTTAGCCTCTGGGACAAGTTAAGCGTGAAGAACCTCTAGGCCACAGAGTAATTGCCCTAATTTAATAATCGCCGATCAGCAAAGTTGGGAATTGTTGTGTGAATTGCCACGGCTGGCACCCACAAGGCAAATCAAAAGGGAAAAAATTTGCAGGAGGAAGGCAAGGCTGAGTGTGTATTTCCTTTCGCTGACTGGTGCATTACCCGTCCCCTGGTTTGTGTAGGCCACTCACACATTTCTAGACACACCACGTGTCTGGCACTGCCTAAAAAAGCATACTTCAACACGGAGCACACTAATACACACAGCCAATTACAGGCTGAAACCTGGGGAGCAGCAGGTCACCCAAGCCTGTGGGTCCGTCTGCTTCAGTTTGCTTAGGGAAATGCTGCAGACAGCAGCAGCTCCATAACAAACGTCGTTTCATAGGGAAACTGCAGCTTGGTCTCCACAGACTGACAAACGGAGCAGAGCTGCAGTAAAATAACACTACCATAAACCACAGGGTTTTAAATACATTTTACACCTCCCTCCTTCCCCAAAGATACCTATTGCTGATACCATGCAAACTTCAAAAAAATCCCCTAGCTTTAGGTTGTTATTGTCTGTCCTCTAATGAGCTGGGGAAGCTGATCTGCAGCTCAGAGACAGAAAGAACAGTTCACTTTCCCTTCTGCCCAGAGAGGCATGGCTCCCTCTGGCACACTTCGAGCGGCTCTATCCCAGCCAGAAGCTGCTCACATAGGACAGCTGAGCTGGCAGAAAGTTTAGCCTATGTGCCACTGAGCTATCATCCCAGGGAGGCAACTACCCAAATGATCTGTGTTTCTATATACAGCAAGGTAAAAGCAATTTCTCCCTCTATTGATAAGTACAGTGCAATTCCAGATCTGAAATACGGAGCGTGCGAATGATGCCCGCCTGCCCATTTTACCTTCTGCTCAAGGAGGGCCCGACGGAGGGATACCCTCTGCTCCAGATCACGCAGCTCCCGATCATGCTGGGCTTCGGCCTGCATCTTGATTTTACTCTGATATGCATTCAGCAGCTCCAATTCTTGCTGCAGCTGCATCTTCAAAACCTGGCACTCTGCTTCCTGTGCTTCATCCAAACGCAGCTGGGAAAGACAGACAATAGAGACGTTTCACTATGGGGTAACCACTCATGACACTCCAGGGGAGGACTGCGAGGAGGGGGGAGAGAATGGGATGGGACTTTGTTTTCTTAGTAATACAATTGGTCTCTATTGTACTTCATTTCACTGAACAGAAGACCTATAGTGACAAAGACCGGTGACAGTGAGCCCACAGCGCTGATGCGAGTGATGCTGATGAGCAGTGGCGCCTCAGGAACCATGATCCGTCCTGCAGAGACCAGACTGCTGGAGGTGCTAATATTCACAGCTCTCCCTTTGCTAGAGGCAAAGACAAGATCTCTTCCTCTGTTCAGCTGGATTGACCAATAACCTGTACACAGCAGACTTAAGTCTGTATCCCTGCCAATGCAGGGCTTCAGGCAAAAGAATATAATGACATAAACCTAAAAGCAATACGATACTGAAACTTTCAACCTTCCCATACATTAACTAAGCCAGCTACCCTGCCTCACAGCGTCAAATTTGTAGAGAGTGATGTGAGCAGGACGCAATATGCAAGAAGTGCGAAGAAAACTGCACGTTCAGTTGTAGCAAGGACTCAAAGCATTGCTCATACGGTCATTCCTTCGAGAAGGAATCTCTTAAAGAAAGAATCACAGAACTTTCACACTTTTAACATTAGTTCAGATTTACAGGCAAAACTCTGGACTCCTCCATGACTCAATGAGCATTTTCCACCAGTGGGACATGCTTTGGTTGGAATCCTTGACATATCAAAACCTAAATGACTTAAGACAGCGAGCTGCACATTATTTATCGATGCTCTGACAGGGACATTTATGTTGTCAGACTTCATGCAAAAGCAGTCCGCTGGCCACGCAGACGCATCACTTTGCATCTCTGCAACAGCATCTTCAACTTCAGCCTGCCTGAAGGGAGTAATACCTCTTTCCTCTGCGTTTGAACGCTGCTTTTTAAACACAGAGGAATGACTGTGCTGGGTACGGTGCGTGTAACAAGGAAGCAGATAGCCCGCTGTCAGGATACAGATCGGTTAAAATGCAAACATCCCTATTTGGCTGAGGAACCCTGGGTCCCTCGGAGGCGACTCACAGCTTGCGTAGAGAGCATTTCATTAATGCTGTGATCATACTGCTCAGCCAGGATAGCCAGCTTCCGGGTCTGCTCCTCCTTGAGCCGTTTGAGGACAGCTTTATGTTCACTCTTTGGCGTGGTCTCCAGCAGATGGTTTCTCAGTGCTTTGTACTGTCTGGTTTGGATCTTGCATGTATCCTGAAACTGCTTCTTTATCTGTAGTTCTTTTGACTGGAAAGATGGAGGGGACACAAACAAAGAAAAAAACAGCATGTTTCAAATGGGAGAAATATCCATTTGAATGGATATTTAGGATTACATTAAGGATATGAGTTCAAGAATCCACAAAATGTATATTAACATCTACAGTGCAAGTAGGGAAGCAAAATACACAAGAGGCAATGACTATTGCTGCAGCTGCTTTGACACTGCTACTGTGCGAAACAATTACAATACAGAGACTTTTATAACAAAGCTCCAGCCTAAATACAGCTGTCTGCACAAAGAGCCTCACATTTGTCACTGGACTGGATCCAGTCCTGGGTGTTGCTTTTCAAGAAAAGTTCTTGAGGGACAGGACTAATATTTATTAGCACCAAAAGCCATACTTACACATGACTGTGCTTGTATGGCACATATATATGAGCAGCACTGCATGTTATGAAAAGAAGCAGATCGGTGCATGGGAAGGCACAGGGAAAAAGCGCAACACTTTTCCCATTGAGGATTTGATGAAGATAAGATGTATTCTAACCCTTGATACCAAGAGCCTGGTTTTCATAAAGATACTCAGAAGTGGCTGGGAAAGATCAGACAGTTGAAGACGTACACCACAAGCAACATTAGCATTGCGCCAGTCCAGCAAACAAAACAATTCCACGGTCCCAGTGGAGACTTACTGGAGACTGAGTTTTCCCTTTGCGCTTTGCTAGCATCTCTACCGTTTAGAGGCATAACTCTGTGATTGCACACCGGGTTGGGAGACATCATTCCTGGGAAAGGTATCTGGATCTGATTTTGCTGTATGACCTTGAGGAAATTAATTATTATTTTCTTTCACCTGCCTTACCTGCCTCCGGAGCAGCTTGTGAGGGTTAACATCTACTAAGTGTTTTAAGACCCTGAAAAGGAAGGTGTTCTGGAGTTCCCCGTTTCTTTCTACAGGAGGGCTGGCAGGGATGCTTCGAACTAAGCAAAACTGAGAAGGGATGAGTGGCAGTGGTTAACTGACAGATAAGAAGAACTAACTGCCATGGGAAGAAAAAAACCAACCAAACAAACCAACCAACCCCTCTAAACCCACACATCAGAGTAGCCAGAATACAATCTGGGTCATTCCCACTGCCAGCCACCATGGTCAAATCCTGAAGCACTGAGGGCAGGAACAGAGCACAGGAATAGATTCCTGTGCCTTGAGTAAGTTGGAAGAGCTCTGGGATCCGAACCAGCAAGGCAGATACATGTGCATGTCTCCCGTCAGCTCCTCCGCTGACTGCTCCTGGCACTAGCTCAAGGCTCAGCAGGGTAGGTGATAAGCGCAGCACTTGTAGCTACCTAGAAAGATGCGGTGGGATCAGACAATATATCCAGCTTAATTTTGACATCATCATGCTTTGCTGCATAAACCAACAATTCCACTTTGCTTATCTGATGCAAAAATCAGGACAAAGATGGGTTTTATTCAAACCAAAACATACAGCATGGAGAGGAACACATCGCCTTTATCCTCTCCAAATTCATAGGAAGTTATTTCCCTCCAGGAAACCTTTAAGGTTGTTTCTCCCTGCCCTTAAGGGAAGTGTCAGCAGGTTACACATTCCCGTCAGGGACCTGGGCACAGCAAAACACTAGCATTCTATTTTGTCCTCACTTTCTGTGAAGTTTCGCTTGGACACCAGACTGTTTACAGGCTTCCAATCCCAAGGCTTGAACAACAGGAAACAGAAGGGAGGGGTAAGATTTCCAGTCAGACTTCTGACAAGATCATTTTGACCTAGTATTGTGAAATACCAGCAAGAGGGTATTTGCATCACAATTAACACGCTCGAAATAATAACAGAGCAGTTTCCACTGAAGGGTGAATTCTAGTTATCGGTCCTTCTGGTGCCGTAATAGTGGCAACAGACACTGACCGTTAAAAGTCTGCTTTCGGGACAAAGGGCCTCACTAAATAACAAAGGGAGAGCCTGAAACACGTGCCCTCGAGGGAAAACGTTGCTGGAGAAAGAAACTGAACAAATAGTCAAATTATCTATTCAATTAAGAATACTTGCCTGCATTAGTCAGAAACAAGAGAAGGAGTTAATACTAGGGAACAGCCTCGATAAATAGGGGATTGTACTACAAACCAAACGGTTGTCCAGCGGGCTGCATTATTAGCACTGTGTGTACGCAAAGGTGCTGGATTGACAGCTCAAGCCCGAAATCCTTCACTAATCGCAGAACAGCCACACAAAGCAAAGTGCAAGCTTTCCATGCTCCCTGCAAAACGCTCCAGCCCTGTCCTCACTGGAAAAGGGCAGGGGTTGAAGTGCCTGCAGAGGTGCGAGGGCAGCCAAGCCTCCGCAGCACAGAGAGATCGCCGATCCCGCTGTCCCGATTGCCAGCCCGGGAACGAGAACGGACACGCTGCCCACTCGTGTTTGCACCGCATCACCTTGGGGAGGCAGAACTCATTCATGCTAATCTCAGAAGGATCAACCTAATACAGCTGCTTCAGTTTTATTCAGCTCAGAGCGCAGCGCAGCTTCCCTGTGAAGTCATCAGCTATTTATACACTATATCCTTGGAGATTCTCAACAGCGATCAGATGGTCCCTTGTTCTCACAAGCTAGGTTTTCACTATTTAATATTATTCTAATATTGACAAATCAGGTATTTCCTTTTCTTGCTGAAGTTCTGTTTTCAAGTTGGTTATTTTCTCGGTAAGAAGATAACTTGCAGGTGGTGAAAACTAAGTCAGATGGGAAATATCACAAAGAGGAAAGACCTAGAACAACAAAGAAACCCCATGCTCAGTATGCCATACGCTCATTTTGTTACCGGCACGGCTGAACACTGGGTGGAGAGGAGAAGTCTGCCTCCTCAAAGGAAATGTACCAGGCAGCTTTGTGAAAGGCCTTATACTCCCTTCTCAGACACTGCAGAATAAACCACTGGACTTCTTTGGATGAAGTGAAGGCTTACAATGAAAACACTAAGAGCCTCAATTACAGAAGCCCTGTAGTTCTGGTCAGCCACCGCAGCTACAGGGGCAGCGCGAGAAACCCATGAGAGCACAACCCAGCAAAGGTCAGTGGTAGGAGCTTCCTGAGGACGCTGCACTTGGCTGGTATCTCCCTCTCTTCCCCTCACACTTGCTAGCATACTGGCCTGAACACGAAAACAATAACAAGGTGAGCTAGCCAAGACCGATACTGCAGTTCATTTTAATGCATACAGCAACACAAAGCTTTTTTTTTTTTTTTTAAATGACGCTACTTCATTGCAGAAAAATAGGTTTTATTCCTAACCTAGGGAGAACAGGATCAGAAAACGGTGTAGGAGGAAGGGGGGGGGGAGAGGGCACTGCAAAGATTACATGCATTTTAAAGTACCACAAAAAGGAAGGCACATCACTGGGAACAATAGCTTTTCAAATAAAATGAGGGAATCGCGCTGCTATGGCCTGCCTACAATACACTGCAACCCTGATCACCATTGCTGTGGTCCATGCGTATGGTGCTTGTAGGGCTGCCGTCGCACCCTGGCAGTTACACAACTTGACAAATATGACGCTTTTTAAAAAAGGTATTCATTACAAAACGAGACATCTCTTCAAATTAACGAGCTTTAAAATACCTTGGACCTGCATACACTGCAAATGAGGACTGAGCTGTAATGTACCACTTTTCCACCACCACCAGCAGCTCGCACCCACCACTCCTACATCGCTTCGTACCTTCAGGCTCTTGGGCTGCTGCCGGACCTCCATGACGTGCTTACGCCTCAGCTCCCGCTCCCGGCGTTTGTTGTATTCCAGCTGGTTGGTGAGCTCAGTCTGGTGCTGGAGTCGGATCAGCTCACAGCGCATCTTCTGGATGGTACTGAGATGGCGGAACTCCAGCTCCTGCATGGACTCGTGCTGACGCAGCAGCATGGCGTGCTCCAGGTCCTTCTGGGTCTGCCTTTTGTTTAACTCCTAACAGAAGGACAGAGGGAATTATTAAATTCTTTGTGCTTACTTGGATTTCCGTTCACAATGTGACATTTCACTTTGTTCACAAGGGCATTTCTCTCTTTCCAAGGCATTTGAGGACAGAGCACCGTTTCTACACCTTATCAGAAGCAGACAGCACCGCCAACAGTAATTTTTCCTTCCTCGTTTCACTTTTCTTCTTCCTGTTCTAGATGCTCAACAGGATTCCCAGTAAGCATTTTCTGGAAAGGACTGTAACTGTTGAGTCTGTTGATTTTTTGGATCTAACAATTCTCCCACAACAGGGCACTAATCTGAACGTTTGATTCCGCACGATCCCCTACATGCCGCAGGGATTACCAGATGGTGTTGCAAAACATATCAAACCATTATTTTACCAAAAGACTTCCCATGTGGTAATTAAAACTTCAGTGAGATCGGAGCTGAACGGCAGTTACTCCTGTGAGACACATTTCACAAAGGTGGTTCCAGGTCTCATCTCTGCCTATTCTCTTACCTCCCGAACCAGGTCCTGCTCCAGATTATGGCGGCCCAGGAGCATCCGTCTCTTAAAGCGGCGACACTCCAGCTCCAAGTACTGTCTCTGACGCCTCAGTAAGTTGGCTTCTTCCTCTGCCTGGAAATGCTGGATGTTCTCCTTCTGCTTGGAGAGCCACTCTTGCTTCTCCTTCTTTGGAGTGCTCTGGTTTTCATTCAGCTCCTGATAACAGCAAGGTAATTAATTGTGGAATAGTCACATTAAGCTCCTCGGCCCTGAACAACTGGACAGACCTGCCTAATAAACTATGTTTCAAAGCCGTTCCACCTTGCCTTCTCATGGCTGGTACCATCCCAGCCTCTGCAAAATGCATCATATCAGAGATCTAAGGGAACACCAGGAGACAATTGACAGTGGAGCACATTTAACCACAACTTTTTTTTTTTTGCGCTGGCCATTTTAACTGGCAAAAATGCTGGTTCATGTCCACATTTTCCAGGCATATGTATCTCGGCTCAAAATGTAAAAACGATGGTTTGCCACCGAAAACAAAGACACTTGGAGGTCCTGCCATACTGCCTGACAAATGTTTTTACAGGCTCCCAGAGGACCAAGAGAAGGAAAGCGTTGTCATCCTGTTGTTCAAACAAAAGTCCAGCCACATGAAGCACATTAGACATATTTGTCTTGCTCGATCAGAACACGTACACATTTTATAAGTAACTCATCAAGGCAGAGCCACTCACTGAGATGCTGTAACTTAGAAAAACAATATAAAGAAGTTCACAAAAGAAACTTAAGGCCACAGTTTCTACATTTGTATTAAACTCAATACATAGCTTGTAGCACCTTTGGCAAAAGACTGCTTGCTTGAACTGCATACTAGAGATGCCCATACAGTAACTAGACTGGTCGTGATACACTTCAACTTATAAAGTACGAGACAGAACTCCTCTGTATTTCATCAGTGTTTCTTGGTGCTCTGTGATCTACTGCCCACTTAGAAAAAGATTCTATGTTATTATAAAGAGCCCACGCTACCATAGTTTTTGTAAGATCTTTCTTGGCTCTGCTGCTCTTTAGCCTTTTTTTCTCCTGGGAAATGCCTATGTTTGGGAATATTCTCCTTTGGAGCAAGTTCCAAAGTTGTGTCACGCAAGTTGATGGTTGAGAACTAAATGGTTCTTTCAAAAAAAATTATTTATAGTGCTTATGGTTTCAGCCACTCCACAAAAAGAATCAGGAAGTTTGTGAAATGCAGAGAAACGGTAGAATCAGAGTTAATGATTTTCACTACAATACAGTGATTATTAAACTATTACACAGCTTTTTCCATTAAAATTTCATAGTGCTTTATAGATATTTTCCTTAAAAATCCGCAGGTCATCTTTACTGTTCTGGTTTCTGGCTGCTGCTACAGGAATATCATTTAAGTGATCAGAAACTTCACTAACTGCAGCAGTGCATGGTCGTTATCTGCAGCAACAAGGTATGAGAAAAATGCTCATGACCTTTCTTAAACTACCTATTTTCATTCCTTAGGACTGCCAAATTTGCATGTTTCTGGCTAAAAAGTTACATTAAACAAAGGAGAAGTTTGTACTTTCACAAGATAAACATATAGGTGCCAATATATAAATAAACCCTCTTACTTTAAGGTCAAAGATACGAAATAAATACAGTGTGTACAGGACTCTGCTCATGAAATGCAGGACGTGCTGCAATCCAGCAAAAGTTCTCTTGCGCACAGTGGCACTTTTATTTCCGAATGTTCACTGCCCTTACACTGTATCATACACTGTATTCACATTTCTCATTACAGATGAGTTACCTCTTTCAGTTGCTCTTTACGGAGTTTATATTCTCTCTTCTGGGACTCCAGGAAACTGTTCAATTCTTTTTTCTGTTGGGCCTGAATATGCTGTTGAAACTTCTTTTCTTCGTTGGCCATCACTTTCGCCTACAGCAAATCCAGCAGCAAATCAGTCTGAGTCCCGATGGATTACAGCTCGTGTTCCATCTCAGTCCCAAGACCCGGAACTCATGGTACAGTCCCGGCGATACTCACCACGCCTCTGAACAAGCGCGAGACTCAGGAGCTTGCCCTCACCCTCTTCTCATTCCACCCCCCCATCAACGCACCCAGCACGAGTCCCTTTTCAGTGCCTCATTTCCTCAGCCCTATTGTTCAGTTATCTCGCCTAACGAAGTCAACACCTTAGGATAAACTATATCCTTAGCCCTCCACCGAGAGATCCAAGATGAACAAAGAATCAATAATAATCACTGTAGGCGGCACCACTTCATTATAAATTATTTAAAAGCATAAATCCCGCCATATCCATAAGCAACTAGATGGTGAACATTTAAGCGTAGCTGGCGTGTTTCTCTGCAGGCTCCTTTGCCTCCGTAACACTTGATGGCAGTCAGTTATTGACAGCATATGCACGGCATGAGAAAGGAAAACCCTTACAATATTTTTTCTGGGGTCAGTATACTGACATTTAGTATAACGCACTGCGATGAAGGACATACCTTTCCTCTAGTTACATAAACCCCTTAGTGTAAGGAGGTGATGTATTAGCCTTTTTCTAATTACCAATTTGCTTGGCTCCTGAAAACAGACATGTAAGAGACTACAATGTCATCTCGTCATCAGTGAGGGGAAGTGGACAATTCAATGTAATTAACAGATATAGACTGGTCTGCTAAACCGTAATCTCCTACCTCTTTTTCCATGGCTGCTTGGTGCTTTTTAATTAGCTTTTCCATTTCTGCAGCAAAATTGTTACGCTGTGTTTCAAGATCTTTGTCCAACCTGAGGCGATGCTCATCCATCTCTGCCTTCAGTTTATTCTCTAATGCCATCAGTTGCTTCTGGTGTTGCCGTCTCATACGTTTATAGCCAGACATCTGCTCTCGGAGTTCAGAGTCTTGTTCGTGTTCCTGCATCTGCCTTGTCACCTAGGAAGGTAACCACGTCGGGCCAAAGTAAGTTAATGCTTCTTAATCTGCTTTTCAGCAGTCTTCAAACCACAAAAGAAAACTATTCAGTAAAGAAATATGATTTTGTTGTAAAGAAAAGCATACATCCTAATGGCAGCAGAGCAGATTAAAAACTGAATTCTGCTGTAGAAGATAAGCTTACATGGGCTCCAGCAGAAAAATTGTGCAATTGTTATAAAGCTGGTACTAAATAATGTCTTTTTAGCCTGCTGCAATGAGCGTGCATATATACACACATCACACACACAAATATACATAATATGCATACGAAAATAAAAGTCAGCTTATTATTATAAACAGTTTCCTGCATTCTGCTAGGCAGATTGGTTTTGGAAATATCTAATATACACAAATTACATTTGCCCAGGTGTCACATTTAAGCTTTTATTAACTTACATTAAACTATTTCAGTGATAATATCTCAGTGAACGAGGATAGCTCATACTCTGATGAAATCCTAACAGCTCTAAGTAGTTTCATAGCCCCGTGTTCAAAGGCATCCCCTCCCTATACAACCTCACCAAAATATAAACCTTAACATACCAGCGATGCTGTGCGTATAGTAGCAAAGTGCTCTCGGTTGCGATAATGAGACTTGTGGCGAGATACTTGGGGAGGAGACTGGGGTTCGGATGCCCTTGTTCGAGGATCTGATTCCTCTCTGTAGTTTTCTTCCTCCTTATCAGCAAACATTAACATGAGAGTATAAAGAGAAACTGTGTTACTAAAGATTTTTTATTTTGGTTTGGTTCAAAAGACATCGAAAGGAAAGAAAACCCATTTTGCATTCAGCAGCCCTGAAAGATCCTCCTGCCAATAAGCTGGATGAGGGAATATACTGCAACAGGACCCCTGATCTAGGATCCTTGGTTTTGGAAATTTCATTGCGCATTTTTATTACTAGGAGGAAAATTACTAATTAAAGCTGAAAATGAGACAAATAAATGGAAAACTGAAAACCAAGTTAAACAGTTTACTTCAACAAAACATAAAAGCTATGAAGTAGATTATATCAAGTCAAAAAGGAAAAAAACATCATCTTTGTAACCCTGAAAGACAGAGGAAGATTTTCATTACACCCACTACAGAAACACCTCAAAGCAAATTTTAAAATTTGTCATGGTGTATTCCACATTCTTATTTTGAGTTTGTCATTCATCACAGAGCGATTAGTAGTTAGATATGATATACTAATTAACTCCCCGAGGAAATACCTGCGTCTTTGTTGCATATCTGGGCAAAGAACAAAACATTCTAACCACATCTGTCATTAGCTAAGGAAACGTTACTGGTTTGAGAAAAGGTGTGATAACCCCTCCACAGCAAGAGCAGCACGGTTCAGAAGGACACTCCCTGGTATATCCTTCATCGCTGTCCTGGTTTGAGTGACACGGGACTAATTTCTCTAAGACCGCACTTTTAGAAGACTCTGGTGTCTGAATTTGTGAAAATATTTCCTTTACAGCCAGCTATGGTGTGTGGGTTTCAAGGTCTCGGTGGTTTTGAGCTTGCCAGGTGCGGGGATGAGGAGGAGCGAGACCCAGGCGCTTGACCCAAGCTGGCCAGCAGGATTATTTCATACCATCAACGTCACATTCACTCCAAATCAGAGAGTTTGCCGCGAAGTTCTCTCTCTCCCTTGATGGCTGTCATTCTGAGAACTTTGTGCCCCGGTGCCGGACTCCTGAGCCCTTCCCTTCCTCCTGAATCCACAGCGCGCGCAGCACCCGACATTTGCTGTCCACTGCTGGGAGTGCACAGCTTCTACGGACAGACTGGGCTGAGGATAATCTTTGCATATTCTGTATTGGTATCGGGATCAATATTGGTTCTTTAGTGCTATTAATGTTAATTATCTAATCTTACCCTATTAAATCTGTTTATACTTCAACTCCCGGGTTTCCTTGTTTTGCCCAATTCCCTTTCCAGGGTGGGGAGGGGGCATCAGGTGATAGAATGATGGTCTAAACAACAATAAATTGTTGTGTGTCTCTCAAACCGTAAGAATCGTGCAGAGGTAAAGCAAGGGAAGTGGTTTCACAGCATGCCACGGCCAGAGTGCTGCGTTTCTTTTTCTGTGCGTCTTCGTTCATTAACCAAATATTTCAATCAAGCGGTGGGAAGCTGTGTGCTTCAGGAACAGATTTCAATAGCCACTGAGGGCCTTATATTTAAGAATTAACTAACTCAGAGGTAAAAAGGGGGAACTTTCACATCCTTTTGTCCCATGAAGCAGTGCTCTGCAAGTTAAGGGCATCTACTAAATAAACCTATTCACAAGCTGCCATTCCAGCTCCTCATGGTAAAGCAAACTGGTTTTGAAACAAAGCAATTAGCAAAATAATTTTTAGTGAAACAACAGAAATAAATTATTTTTACAGCAACCTTCCAAAGTTTCCAGCGCACATTAATATATTGGGACACGATATTGGAACCTGCAGATAATGATTTAGGATAGGTAGCACTCAACTTTTTGTCATTGTACCAACCAAATCCACTCCCATTTCACACCTTCAAAACTATCCAGTACAAATCCAATGCTTACCGGCTTTAAATGAATGACAGAGCTATTTGACATCACGGTGTGGTCCCCCTCCATCATATCCAGCTCACTCTTATCATCCGAGGCATCTGGAAGACTGTTAACACTACTGCTTTGGCTACTGGCACTGATAGACATACTAGGAATGGACTGATTACTTCCGACACTATTCACTGTTCCTGTCCTGCCAACACCATGATCTTGTTCCTAGGAGAAAGGAATTATTAAGAAAATCCAAATCCATCACAGTGGCATCTGTGGACATTACCAAATGACACGTTCATTCCATTCCTTTCTAAAGGCATCTACCTGCCACGTCATGGCAGTTTCCACCCTCCAGGCATTGCCATGAAACGTTTCTCTTGTGGGATGTTGGGGAGGGAAAGAATCAACCTTGTCAAGATTAACTGGCTGATGTCAGATTCTTTTCAAGAGTGAGCCTGTTAACAAGCTGAACTCTATCATGTATCAGCAACAGCGTGTCACCAGAAACTGTTCTGACACCAGCATCATCTAAGTGCTCAGCTGGGACACTGCACCTTGCACGGTTCCTTTCTGTACGTGAGAGAACTGCAATTCAGAGAGTCTCAATTTCTGCATGGTGATTGCAGCATGCAGCCCCAAAAAGACAAATTAATTTCCCTCACGCCCCCCCCCCCCCGCCCCTATATCTTAGACTCTGCACAACATTCTCCAGACAAAACCAGAAGACTGTCAAGGGCCTTGTACATATGGTCAAAATAGAGGTTAACTGCAGTTGCTGAAAGAGTCCTCGTGAAGGCTTATAAACAGGCAAGGAAAGCTAGGATTTACAGAACTGGAAGCTAACTGTTCAAGCACAAACACATGGCACAGCTTCTTGCCAGCACTAAGCATCTACCCCGTTTGTCCTTGTTTGTGCCTTGAGGTAGCGTTATTCCAAGCAGAGAGGAAGAGGGAGTTTACAACCAGGTGCGTGAACAGCCTCCATTTGTTTTAGCAATATCTGAGTTGTGGATATTTAAATGACAGCATCATTCGCTGGTTCAGTGATGAAATCCAAAGTTTTTCTCACCTCCTCCTCCTCCTGTGTTTCGACTGCAGGGCCGTTGTGTGCCTCCTGGAAGAGGAGCTTCTTCATTTTACGGTACTGCAGGTTGTCCAGTTCTCTCACTGCATCCTTTGTTCTCTGAATCAAGTCTATTAACACTGTCTCGGGCCGCTCCCGAAGAACAAACATGTGCTGTAGAACACATAAATAGGTGAGTGACCTCTTATGCCTCCAGCGCACATGCTCCAAGCACAAAATTATGAGCTCTAGTTTGGTCTTTTAGCCCTCTTCCTTGCACAGGAGGAGAATACTTCACAGCTTACATTGGCACTATTTTTAGACTTCATGATCCAGATAGATTTCAGAATGACTGCTTTCTGATGGGAGACATCCACCAAGAAGTAAAGAGGTAAAAAAACCCCAGAAATGTTATTTCACGTACTATGAAAACAGGCTCAGTTTAAACCCAGACTTCTTTGGATGTTGGGGTATTTAGAGACATTATCTACTTGTGGTTTAGAAGGGGAAGAGCAATAAATAGCGTATAAATGCCAGAAGTGAGAGACTGGTTAAGTATCTCTAACCAAATGTTCGTTAACTCATGAGCTAACTCGCACCTTTTCCTTGTTCAGAAAAGCTTGAGAATCAAATATTTGGCATACAGCTCTGAGCCATAACATAGGTTGTGAACCTTCAAGCCCGGTCCTAGCACAGTTAGCCATGTTATGCTCTTTTTTTGGAGATATGCACTGCAATTCACTGCAAAAGTGAAATCTTGCCGATGGCTGTCAGAAGCAGCTTTTGCAGTCTCCAGATGCAATGTGCTGTGCAAGCGTGAGTCATTATTAACACCACCGCTAGTTTCATTTTGTTCCTTAGGAGAACTGCATTGCCATTTCCAACGTGTCACATTCTCTACCTGTCCCTGTAAAGTGGCATGCAGCTGCTTCAGACTGTAGATATAGAAGGAATACATTCACAAACGTTTCATTTCCATCAATGTTCTCTTTAATTGCAGCGCATTGCTCAAAATAAAACCAATCTGCAGAATTCTGAAACGGCAGGACTACACACCCACACCAAAACCTTTACTCGATAATTGCATTTACTTTCTGAAAACACAGTTTTAGAAGAGGCAAAAGTCCTCAGAACCATTTAAGTAAAAACATGCAAAAAGGTGATGACAAAAATCTTCATAAATAGCATCTATTTCCCAGTAATGCAAAATTTTGGAAAAACCGCTGTTTAGCACAAACATGGCCAGGATAAAAATCCCCCAAAATAATGTTCCGAGCATTGTGAAGAGAACGAGGAGTTAGCAAAATTCTGAATGCCACTTGATGTCACAAAGGAAATCCATCAAAGTCACACTTAAAATAAAGCAGCTCTAACACCTAACTTACATGCAAGTTGTGTTCACTTGAGAACATGTCAGCTTTTTGCAACAATCTACCACATTGGCTTTGTTTCCAGACTACAGCAAGGAAAATCAAGTATCTGTGGCATACAGGAGCACAAATGAAGACAAAAAAACCAAAACAGGCTAAGAAATAAAGCAGGAGAAAACCTGCAGACAGCTGAGGCTTATTCATGTCAAGGAAAAGTATGGGGAAGAAAAACTGCTTTCCTCTGCCCCCTTTCCCCCAGGGATACTATTAGAACAGCGATTTTCAGTTCTACACGTAAAGCACATAGGTGACGGGAGAGGATAAAATGCCTTTAGGGGTATATATAGCATAGAATAAAGGGGGAAGTAAGGAAAGGTATTTGTTAACTAATGCATGGCAGTGCTGTCAGGATTAATTGTAATCACTGGAAGGACAGACTGAGCTTAAGAAACTGAAAGTCTCAACAAGTTGGTGGTCACCCAGTGTCACCTGCTGGGGCATCCGTATATGATGAGACCAGGCTAGCTTGGAAAGTCACCTGGGGAGCCACCCGAGATGCTGCAAAGGGGCATGAAAGCTCAGACTGCCGGCTCGGCACACTCCACAGCACTCTCAGCTCAAAGGTGTTAGGGATAACGGGCAGAGAGCATCATAAACCATAAACTAGTACAGTAGGTGAGACAGAAGAACATCACAGAGCACGGCCCCTTTTTAAAACCACGTGGAAAACAAGAAGGAGAAGCAAGCCAACCTTCAGAAGCTCCTCTGATGTAGGCCTGTCTTGAGGAATTTTCTGGAGGCAAGAATCTACGAAGTTTCGAAAATAATCAGACCTGCGGCAAGGAAAGTGAAAAAAACCCCAAACATCCGAGTTAGCTATCCGGCTTAATTTTTAAAGTTAATTAAAAATCAAGACATTCACATTTGGGCACTGCTAGTAGAGTGGGGAGAAACCACACAGACACAGGACTCCACGCTAGAGCCTCTGACACCTCCAGTAAAGCCAAAGCCCACTGCTACTAGTAGATCGATCCCTTCACCCTCAGCTTCCAGACAAAATGTTTCATTTAAAGAATGCAAACACATGGGCCAATTCAAGAGGAAGGGGGGTTCGCTATAAAGGCAAACACCCCTGTATCTCAGTATGAGCATCAATCCTGTCAAATTCTATATTGCCCAAACTCTCCAAGGTCTAATCACCTCTGTGCGCAGATGTTTCATCCGCAAACTGTATTAACGCACAATTCCTGAAAATGCCTTTGGCCGCTCAGACACAGCTTCTGTTGCACTCTTGTGCAATCTGTCACAAGTAAGACTTAAGGTCATGTTTTGTTTAGTAACTTCTCTCCTGTAAGCTAAAATTCTGTATTTTGCCCTTTCTTTCTCCAAACACAGTTTTCAGAAGGGCAGAGTTATACCCTGAAAACAGCAGCACATCAGTTGTACAGGTTTTATTTCTTCCCACCACCACCCCCCCTCCCGCTTTCCCATCACATAATGGGGGGTTTTGCTACTGCAATTTTTCAGTAAATTAAATTATTGCATTTTGGGGGAAGAAAAATGCATACAATGAGTTGAATGTTTTGTCAAGCACCAGGGTGTGAAATAGCTTAACCAGAAAACCTTAGAAGTAGAAAAAAATTTCTGAAAATAAGGTACAATGTATTATGCTAGAGGCCTAAGACTATGGCTCAGAAAAAACATAATTAGGAAGTTTTTAACTTTTGAAATTAGTTTACTGTGTTGGCTGTTTCAAAAGACAGTTGGTGTGGCTGAGAGGCACAAAATGTTACTACTGTGCTTTATTCTTCTGAAGTTTATGCCACAAACACTTGCCACACACAAGCGGTGTCTTCATCTTGCAAAGCAATACTTCAACAAAACAAGATTTCGGAATTGACAGCGTGGTTTGTGATTAAAAAAACACTAAACCCCACATTTTTGGCTGGCCTGGAAGCTTCAAAAGTTTACTGACCCATGAACTGAATTTTTTGCAGGATTTTATGTTCTTTCAGCAGCGTGTCCTGTGTCTGCTACATTCTAGAGTCTAAAATGCGTATTTAGGAACTGGTCAATTTTGTATACAAAATGTATAGTGAATCTAATAAGAACCTTCCAGTTCACATCTTCCCAACAGGAATCCAGCCATTTCAAGAACTCAGCATGACAAAGCACTCCATTTACAGCAATTCCCTGCAACATTCCTCCCTCCGTCATACTCACCATTCATTAGACTGTAGTGTAGGGGATTCATTCTGCGCTATGTGATATAAGGCACTCATTGCGTTCATATTAAACAAAGGAGGCTTCCTTTCCGCTACACACAAAAGAAAATGATTTATATATAGCAAGATAGTCTCATGTTTTTGCTCTTTTTTTTAGTTTACATCCCTTTAAAAAGAAAACCACGTCAGCAGAATCACTATTGCCCGAACACGGAACCCCAAACCAACCCTACCCTGCAATCAGACAGATATGTTGGCGTATGTCCTATACCATTGCAGAAGATGAAAGCACTTTGAAGATCAAATGTCTTGTCCTCTCGAGCTTTTAAATTACGTGGTTTATCATAGTTGAGTTCTCTGAGTCATTTTAATGTACTAAAATAGGAGTGCGTTAACAGTAAGCTTTAAACTCGGTGTTTAGCCACTATGCATCCTTGGTTTCATACCCCCCACCTTTTTTTTTTTTTTTTAAACTACAGTTGCTAAAAGGCTAACAAATATTTAATTCTAACAGGACAGCAGTGATGAAGAAAAAGCTGGTTACAAGAACCATCAAATCACACTTAACTGACTAAGCACATGGGCAGGAAGTCAGTAACAGGCCAAGTCTTTATACTATTTTAAGAGTTGCATTCTCTTTGGCTCTTCTCTCTCTTTTAAGCTTGTGTTACTCTTATAGACTGACACAGCATGAAAGCTTAATGAGGAAGGAGATGATCTCACTGTAACAACAAAATTGAAGCTTCATCAGAATGTTTACGGGGTAAACCTATTAAGCTCAGCCTCGCCATAAACATTCCAGAGAAGGTGGCCAGGCCAGGAGGACGTTCCTACACTACTGAAAATGCAACAGAAAACCTTCCTTCCCGAATAAAAACCAAAGAAGGAAAAAATTAATGCTAGTTTTCTTATTCTGCTTTTTAATTTTGAGTCAAACGGCAGCAGTAAGCGATGTATCAGAGATCACGGTTCACTTACGGCTGTCACAGGATGGACGAAGCCCTACAAACTCCTCAGAACAGGTAAACTGAGGAGTTAAACCTTTCCTCAAATGTAGCATTTTACCTTCTCTGATCTGTCAGACAACTAGTTGCTGCTATCAAGGATCAGCCCGATTATTCATTCAACTATTTTAACTGACTGTTCTCCCTAGCTTTTTTCCCCCCTCTCACAACTCACCTGAATAAAAAAGAAGTCTTCATGAAACACTGAAACCGAGCCCTTAATGAGGCCGTTTCTAAGACTGAGGGATAATTTGAGAAGACTACTAGACATCTCATTTTTCTGCTTTCTTCCCATGCTTATTCAAACCAAGGCAACAGCCTACAAAGCTCTACCATCCTGACCTAGTCTCACCTCCCACCACACCAGAAGCCGTACACGAAGCCTAACGCTTCATATTGCAAAAACGCAGCGTGCAGGAAGGCACCCGGGGGTGTGGTGGCCATGAGCTCACTGCATTCCTGGAACGCTGCAGCCAGCCAAGTCTCCTTACTCCACTCGGAGTAGGATTCTGTCATGACAGTCACACCCCTTCAAAACTTGCTTTATATTGGCAACCAAAAAAAAAATCTCTGCTCTGAAGAAAGAATCTATTTCACGTCCTGGAAAAAAAAATGAAGTTGACAGTTTGGAATGCCAGACAGAATTTTTAGCTAAACTGTGCAGTTCACATGGATTAGTGTGTTTCTGAGAGCTCTCACTGCCCGGCCGGGCTGCTCCTCCACCGCGGCTGGTGTAGAGTAGAGCAATGAGATGTGACAAGGATGGTTAGGACGGCCTCAGGTGCAACGAGCTGCACTGAACCTCACCATCCCGAGAAAAACATACAGCTAAGTGCTTCTAGAGAGCTGGATCCTGACTAAAATCAGAGTTGTGCTGCGCATGGTCTTGTGCTTCAGCAAGTGTGCCTTTGTTTCAAGAAAATACTACACGTTAAATTTAAACAGAATGCCATACGAACATAGTCCTTTTAAACTGACATTCTGCTGCAAGGAGTCTGTTGTAATGGCAGTGCCATCGTTTCTTTTGGGTTTGATTTATAGGTTACCACTTCAAAACTGGATTATTCCGTAACTTTTTCTTTATTTTTTTTTTTTTTAAACTTAAGAGATTTCCGAGCCAAATCTATTCACAAGTGACGACATACACTTAATATAGCTTTGAAGCTCTCCACTCATCCCAAACCTCATTACTGCAGGACTCGTTAATATACCTTAAGTTTTCATGCAAACAATATCAACTTATACCACTAAATATATTTTCACATTGGCACTTTTAATAGTTCATTTCTAAAGCTGTTCAGCAAATAGACTGTTTTTCAGTTCAAAAGTTAACTGCCTCTCCCACAGAACGCGAACACCTTTAGTGACATAGCTTGGCTATTTTCTTTGTCTACAAAACTCTTTTTCTTTAGGTAATGAAAACACCAGTTCAATAAACATCAAATTGGAGACTTGGTCTTGAATTTGAGACAGCACATATAGCTCTTTTCTCTAAAATTCGAGTCCCAGAGAAACCAGGACAAGGAAGGAAGCATAGATCTTCCACACTGTATTCAATACCGAGAACTTAGTCAGCTGAAATAACTCAATTTTGTAATTTAAAAACAAACAAACAAACAAAAAACTTACCTAACTCAATACAGGTAATTCCAAGAGACCAAACATCTACTTTGCCATCATACTGCCCTTCATCCATGGCTAAAATCACTTCTGGGGCCATCCTAAAATGAGAAATCAGTGCTCAAAATTCTGGGCAACGGAACACTTCATCATCAGTGTTTCAATGAAACAGGCTGTTTTGCTGATTTCAGCTACCACAAATAAATCATTCCCCAAGGCATCAGGCATGAACATGGATACTGGGAACAAAGACCAGGCACCCACACTAGCACGAGCCTATACAGAGGCTGCGCGATGTTCTCCTGCGCTTTGCCCAGCTCTCCATTTATGAGTATCACCACCTTCTCGCCCTCCCACATTTCCAATAGTTTAGCTGGCTGGCCATCTCTGGTGAAATAATTACAGCATGCAGTTGTGTAAACACCACAGATTAGGTGTAAGAGATCAAAAGCATACAAGGGATCTGCAAAGGGTTTTGTTCAATGAACCTGGCTTTTCCTATGAAAGAAAGAACACTTCAGTTATTTCAACAACCAGACGCGGTGACAACATACGAGTTGTTAAAACCACTGGGGGGAGTGATTAAAATATATTACAGGTGATTCAATCCCACCTCTACCACTTAAAGTCAGGATAATTAGAACAACAAAATATTTTTTTTTGTGAACTACAAGTACAAGGATTCACAGTTTCTTGAACTCAGAGCCTAATTACTGTTTCGTCTTTTTTTTTTTTCTGCAGAGTACATTTTATCACTACCACACCTGCAGGATTACAAAGCTAGCTCCAGTAAAGGCCAAGTATATTAAATACCCAAGAAATGATCCTTTTTTCTTCACAAAGCCAGAAATGCGTAAAACTCTTGGCTTACCAATATGGCGTCCCCACAAATGAGTTGGCAGGAGATGCTATGGAAGCAGACCCAAAGTCAGCAAGTTTCACCTGTCCTGGCTCTGTCAGCAGGATGTTTCCTGCCTTGATATCTCTGGTTATAGAATACAAATGTCAGTACTATTCCTCTCCAAAAAAGAAAACCTTCTATAGGACTGACTACAAAACACAGCAGTATTCACATGTTCAAGCTGCAGAATACCCTCATTTCCTCTTAATACAAAATCTTTAACCTTCATGGTAATAGCTTAACAAGGCCCTTGGATCTTCGAATCCAGTTTGTCTTAAAAATCAACTTAAAATGGCACACCTGGGTAAGCTTTATATACAGTTCGGCAAAGCCTTCTGAACCAACTATGTCCTTCACAAACGTTTTTCAGACAGTCCTAATAATGTAACTATTCAAACCCTTCATCCTACTAAAACGCAGCAGGTACTTCAAACACAAAGAACATTTGCATCCCATACTTACTGTGCGCTTCTCAACATGCGTGTTGGTGTAAAAATAATTTCCCAAGTATTAGCGCTTCCCCCCGGCCCCAGCAATCTCGGCCTTGCTACGAGCTATTTGGGTGAACTCAGCCTGCCTCGCTATTCCCTGCTTCAGGGGACAACCAGCATCGTATCAACTATCGAAAGGCTTAGCGGATGCAAAGCAATTGTGCAGAAATGAACACCAGCTGTAAGAGATGGTGCACAAGGAGACACACAGCTTCCTAGTATTCGACTCCTATAAATCACTAGTTTGGGAGCGTACGGATACTGAAAAAAACCCCTTCTCTGCTTACAGATATTAAATTTGGGATGAAGGGGATACAATCAAAGTCAATTACCTGTAAGTGTGTGAGACAGCAAAAGCATAACCACTTACCTATGGATCATATTGTGAGAATGCAAGTATGCTAATCCCTGGAGAGCACCATGGGTAATTGCTGCTATTTCCACTTCTTGCAATGGCTTTTTATGAACTTAAGGAAAGAATTTATTTGAAATTCAATATTAAAGAAAACAATGCAGTTTGCAGCATGCAAGCGAGTACTGTTAACAATGTAAACACAGAGAAAATACCGAAACTTCAGTTTTACTAGGTTCAGTATGAGAAGCAAATGTAAAAATAGTTCACAGCGTAGAGTACATTCTATAATCAGATGTAATCTTCTAACCATAACCAGCAGCTATTTACTATCAAAAAGAGACTACTTTGCAACCATAAACTACATTTCTGTCAGTTCTGTGACCGTTCTCCCAAACACCTATTTGAGACTCAATATTCAATTTTCCATTAACGATGCTAAACCCCAAACCCTACAACTTTATGACAATTCACACATGAATAAATAAACTGTAGCAATACAGATAACTCTCCAGCAGCTCAGCCTTTTGTCCTGAAACGCTTCTGGCAAACAAAGGCGATGAGTAACTTACTGGCCACACATATATCTTCAAAGAAAGTTCACTTCAAGAAGCCTGATAGAAAAACGACCATTTAACAAAAGACCTCATCAAGCAGAACCCTAATACTGCTGCAGCGCTATTTTAGTCAACAGGCCTACAGTTGTTAGTAAGCATTAGGATCAACAGCAAGGGTTTTCAGAAATAAATCTTGAACTGTCACGACAGGAGAACCTAAAACTCAGAAGAAAACAAATAGCTGACTGCCAACTTTAAAATAATATGAACCAAGGAGAAACTAGGCACCCAGGAAAGCCGACACTCTACAGAAAAACCATTACAGCCACGTGCAAATCTGAAAAACTGCCACTGTTCGCACACACTCTGCCCCCAAATAAAACCCTAAACTCAAGGACAATTCTGTGATGCTGTAACTTCCTACTTCAGTACTATACTTCTGACTTTCAATCAAATAAACGCGTGTGACATACCTTCTAGTAAGTCTGATGCTGATCCTAAACAATATTCCATAACAAGCTGTATGGGAAGAAATCAAAACAGTTGTTAGAAAATCTCTAATAGAAAATGCATGTTTTCTGGATATCTATGGAGAAACCTAGAATTCTAGATTCTAGAGTTCTGTAGAGAAATCTGTAACTAATCACTGCTGCACACACAACACAGACTGCCATAACAAAACAAGTATTGCTTGTAACGTAAGCCCCATCCTGGGGCCGCCACACTGATCCCTCCCACAGGGACAGCTCGAACTGGAATTAGGATAGCCTTCCTGTGTAAGATACCGAGCAACAGAAGTTGTAAGGAGCACAAGAGCATATTCATAACCAGTTCGGTATTGTACTGCATATCTTAATTTATATGCACGTACTTAACAGGAATGATAAATTGCACTTAATAAGCTTATCAGAGTATTAAAGAGCTATTTAGGGATTTACTTAAGATTTCGTCCCAGTCAGATTTCAAAAAAAGAAACAAAAACTTTGTCCTACAGATTTGCTGACGCTAACACATGAACAGCACTTCCAATTTAAGCTATTATTTCAACAACGTGATTTCTTTAGTATATCGTACCGCATAAACTTTGTCAATGAGAACTGCTACATCACGTTTTTCGTTTGACAAAATTCTTCCCCTGCATAGCCAATCACATCTATTCCCACACACACATTTTTATGCACACAAACTCAAATAAACCAAATTTAGTTTGGCAAGGTTGGGGGTTTTTGTTTAAATCAAATGTATGAAATTAATTAGGAGATGACAGCAGAGATAAAACCACCTAGTTTGTTTTGTCACCTGAACATACACACAAAAATGACAACAGAAGTAAACAATATACAACAGAAGAATTTAGTTAAATAACAGAAATACAACTCAAAGTATACTTTAACTATAAACACAGGTCTTATCACTCTGAGAGCGAAGTGTCTGTTAATTTCAGTAGCCAGAAGAGGCCCAGCTAAGCAGCAAAGTTACTGAACAAAACTGGTCCTGTTTTACCTCAACCTAGGACAAGTACAATTATCAGTAGCGTTTCTAACCTAGCCCGTTAAAGTACAGCTGAACACGTACTTCTGGAACATACTCAGTTAACCTGTAAAGTACTGCACCATTAATACTCAGTGGCACACCAAACACGTTAAGTGACCAGCAAGTATCTAATAAAGTTGCCATATCTGCCTCCCAGGCAGCACCAGTGAAATTCTCACCTTTTCTTACAGCAAGAAGTGATGGATAAGTTAGTTGCCCCCCCTCACCTCCCCCATTACTATTTATTTCAAGTAGTGCATGAAGTTAAATACACTAGAACAGCACAATCGCCTCGCTCTGCAAGCAAAGGGGAGAATTTCCCTGTATCTTATTTTCAAAAAACTATACTCAGTTTTGCTGAGCGTCTGTAAAGTCCTTGGCTATTCTCATCTGAGTTTGTGCAACGCAAGTGTTCAGGTGCCTCTCGAAAGCCAGCTGGAGATATTTTAAAGCGCCCTTAACCAAAGCAAGAGAAGCGCAGAGTGCAGCAGATGCTTACCCATGCTGTATGCTCCCGCAAATAGCAGCCTTTGTATTCTATACTGTTAGGGTGTTTTATTCTTTGGAGGAACTTGACTTCCTTAATAATATCCTGCCATTTCTGTAGAAAAAGAAAAGGAATGGAAAGACTTTATGAAACTGCTACCTTTTTTTGGTTGTTGTTAAGTTAGTATGTCATTTAATTATTTTAAGAGGCGAAAACATGTTAAGGTTCCAAATCAAAATAAATTTTCATCAACACCGTCATGTTCACAGCTTAACTCCTCAACAGATCCACAAAATAAGAAGTTGATTGATTAGGCTGTATGGGAAGGGTCTAAGGAACTCTCATCAATGTAATACTATGTATTTATATGTATGCATAGGATATACCAGTAAACACTTAATGTCCGAGCCAAGTCCTCAAAAAAGAAGCAATCCTTTTTAGGGCACATGATTTCTCTTGTCAAATCAAACATACATCCCAACCTGAAAGAGAGTGGCTGGTAAGTGTCCTTCAGCAGATCAGCCCTCTCTCACTTAACTCTTGCAGATATAAACACCTACCCCTGCTAGTAACTGTATTACACTGGATGAGACTCCATTTATCAGCCACCAAATATCTTGACTACACTCTTGGTAATGATTCTCCAGGGCTAGTTTAGTTTTTACAAGGACCGATTTGAAATGAGTTACCTGACAGATAAGGGAATGGTTCTGCAGGAGTAAAAGAATAAACAGATAAAGCAAAATCCAAGTTTATATATAATACGGGGAGCTCTGTCAGTGCAACTTTAAAGTACAGAAGAGGCCACAATGACATGTTCCACTGTGTGCCCAAGCACTGCCACTGCTCCTCTCGGAGGCAACCACCAAGTCCTCCCATTTGCTGCCCACCCACACCTCCTCAGGCAAGAGAGGCAAAAGCTTCTAAGTGCAACAGCAAAACTACAACTACCGGAAAAGATTTTCAAAACCAAACACAGTAGCTGGAACCATTTAAGTATGCAGACATCAACACGACAGTGTTGACACTGAAAATGTTTTTGAGAAAGCATGTGAGTTCTGAAGTTAATCAGAGGTAGAGAAACCTCACCAAAAGGTTCAAAAGCTGTTTTTCAGGTCCTTTTAATCTCTCAGCACACATTGCCTTAGGTGTATGTACGCGGCTAGGATTCACAGATGGACAGAGGTCCCATATACCCAAATGCTTTGGAAAACACGTACAACACCCAAATCCTCCTCAACAAAAATTTTAGGGTTAGAGAAACAAATGAAACCGGGCAACGTGGTAGCCACAACCAGGGCAGCTTATTGACTAAGCATTTCTCAACACCAGAAACCGCATGAAAATGACATTAGTGCTGCTATACTAACATAAACTCTATGGCTGACACCCTCATTCCAGGCACAGGACCAACTTCCATGCCTTCTCCCTTTAGCCTCAAAGGCTTTGAGGTACCAAGAAATAAAAGTCAAACCAAGAAAGCGCCACACTAAACTTCTATATTGGGAAGAGAGATGCGATATATTAGTCAAGGCATATTCACGATTTCCTGCATTAAAAAAAGCTTTGAGATCCCATTAAGAGCACAGTACTACGTATTTCCAAGGTTTTTAATATATTTTTAGAATAGAATATGTCCTTATTTTAGAGAATAATTGTTCCCACCAATGATAAAATCTTTTTATGGAACCAAAATAAATATAAATGATAACAGAACGCCCGTAATCAATTTTCTTTACCTAGGCTTAAGCATAACTCTAGCAAACTTCTGAACAAAACAAATAAATAGAGAAGTATAACAGAAAGTCTTTTAATCCTGGTCTTATTACTTTCTTCAAAATAAAGAAACATATGCATTGAAGACAAACAAAAGCTATTTCTGATGCATGCACAGTTTGTTTCATTCATGTGAATAGAGTATTTATAGCTCACAGTAATTAAAACAGTAGGACAAGTAGTAAGTACAAATTATTCTTTCATCAGTACACAGTTAAACAAGTCACCGCAGTGACAAAATAGAAACACACATAGCAAATTTAACTATGAAGCTAGAATTTAGGACTGCTGGAGAGACACTGCCACCTCTACCTCCTACACAGACACATACACACACAGAGAAAGGAAGGAATAGTTCAGCTCCTTGTAGCGCAGATGATCAATACACAAAAGGCAGGCACAGAAACCCATGAGCTGTTAGTCAAACTCATCGGAGCAAGACTGCTTCTGAGACTGGAATATAGAGAACGGAGGGAGGGAACCATAAATGCCTTGAACAACATGGTTACAGTAAGTACTTCTGTTGAAAAATCATGCTACAAGTTGATAGATGTCGTTTACCAGAAATAATACCAAGTCAGCTGTTCGCTTCATGTTGGGTTTCTCAAGAATCTGTATTAGCACTTAAACATTTCAAGTATAAAATCAATTATCTCTGTGAAGCGTCCTAGGGAAAAAACACATCTGGGGTGGCCACGAAAACACTTAACGTTTAAATCTCAGAGGCCTACTTTTACAGACCTCCCTGCAAAGACTGCCTTAATCCCTAGCTCTGGCAGTTCTTCCGTAATTATGCTCCTGTTCAGATTTTCACACTCAATTCATTCACTGCTGTTTTGCTTTTGTTTTAGCTCCTCATCAGCCCAGTCATTCCAGGGAAGGATGCATTCTGCCTTACTGCTTTGTATAAGGAAATTTCCCCCGGAATCTTTCACTGCTGCATCCGTTGCTATTATTCCTTTGTCCAGAAGCAACATGGTTATTTTAAAAGGTATTTAAAATGGAATGTTTAAGGGCAACAAGACATACAAACATGCAGAACTACCGGTTTTAATTTTCTTTTTTGCTTTCTACACACTTCTGCGATTCCATAAAAGAGCCCATTCTGTTTGGAAGCAGAGAGTCTTATCCATCTTTTCCAGGAGCAGATTAGGCAGAAATACACCGGGACCAGTAAACTAATTTGTATTGTTTACACTGTACCCTCATTCACCTTTACAGTTGCCGGAAAGATCTCTCTTGTTGTAACCCAAGCTAATTAAAATCATCCCATATAATAAGTATTTGCAATGGTCAATATTTAATAAGCAACATGTTCTACATACCTCATTGGACTGCTTCCCACTATATGACATTTTCTTGATGGCCACCACTTCATTGGTGCGCACATCACGTGCCTGTAACATGAAAACACGATGCATCAGTTTCTTCAGACTGTGATTTCCCATAAGATGTAAACCAGACACACTCACAAAAAAAAATAAATCTTTATCCATTAGTTAACTTTTGCAGAGAGAGAAACCAAATTATCTTCCAAGGGGTGTGACTGCTGCATCTATTAGAAATTTCCTTGCAAAGTTAACGACCGTCCTCCTGTTTGCGGGACAAGGTATGACATTTTTCCATGCTCAGCATCCAGCAAGTCTCCGCAGGAGTCACTTCTAAACTGAAAATCATAGCTTATAAAAGCAGCTCTGATTCAAGTAGAACAGATTTTCCCTAAATCAACTTCCCTCCCTGCCCAGGTCCATTCCCAACAAATCAGAAGCAAAGCTCAGCCTTCGGATTCCATTCCAAACATTAGCACCGACGTCACAGGATGCGCAGGACATACCTGCCCCAGACACCGGCAGCTTTCTCCCCAGTGCTCCCACAAATTACCTATTGTGTCTTAAGGGAAGGCAGATGACAGAGAGAGAGACAGGGGCAATCTGAGACCCATCCTCAGATTCCCATCCAGACTTTCACTTTCTCAGTCCAATAATATTATTATTTCCACTGCACTATAAAGGTATATGGTCTGTCACAGCTCAAAGGCAGACTGCCTGACTTCAGACAGCAACAATCCAAGATAAGACCAGACAAGAAGTTTTGTTTAATTTAGCACCCAAGGGCTGTTTCCCCCGGCAGGAGAAGAGGGAGCGCTGCTCCACCGGGCAGGGAGGATGGCTCCAGCCAAGACCCCGGCCTCTCCTCCGTTAAGGATTTCAGCAGCAGGGGAGGGCAGGGGAAGAAAAGACCTCCGAGTCTCTCTGATAAGAATAATCAACTTGGAAACGAAGCCAAAGGATATAAATCAAAATAATGTGCACCACAGCATTCAGTGATAACTGATGAAAACACTGATTTTTAATATATTTGTACTATTATCAAGCACAGCCTATCAGAACATGGATTAATGAAGTACTGGGACTCTCTTTTTTGTAAAAAGGTTTTTCAGTCATGTTTTAATTCTGCCGTTCATGAAAAAGATTCCCAGAATTCCCTGCCAATCTTTACTTCCACCAGTTATGATAAGCTTGAACCAACACTATTTTTAGTTTTCTTTCTGTTTGAGAGGACCTTTCCTACTGTCTCACTGGTATTAAAGTATCTCTAAGGTTGGGGGGACACACATGAATATTTTTGCTTTTTGAGACAAAAAAGGAAGAATAAAATTTTGCCTCCTAGATCTCGACTAATTAGACACAATCCCCGAAACATTCAAATCAGTGAAGAACTGCAATAAAACAGGCAAGCAAAATACTAGAGTAGAGCAGAAGGAACACAGCTCTAACAAAAGAGTGGGTTATTCTTCTGCTCCATCTGCAGTGTTCCAGTGTAGTAGGCTTCCTGTGTCAAGCGAAAGCTATTATTACACTGCAGAGCAGGGAGTAGGGTAAGGATAATACCAAAATGATTCAGAGGTGCCAGACTTGCAGTTTCTAAGAAACTAAACCCATGAGGTGAACCAGCAAAATTCATGTCAATTATGAAAGAAAAAAAGTCATTTTCTGCCACTGCAGGATGTAACAGAAACAAAGAAAGAGACAAGAGTGAACACTCTCAGCCAGTTATCACGTAAGATAAATATATCATCCCTTCTTGGGGTCACTGCTAAAAGGAAAGAAAGGCAGGTACAACTAACAACGAAAGATTAAAGTGCATTTTAAAGAAGGCAGGGAGAGATTTCAGGATTATATGGATTTTTCTACTTGTTAATTACTCCCACATCTATTCGTCATCATTTTCAGTCCAGGCCGTATGCAATGAAAGCAGACCAGTGGTCGGGAGGCTCTGTATTGGAAAACCCAAGCAAGCAACCCCGATCGCGTTTGCTGAACGCCCACAGTCCATCGTCGCTCCAGCAGCACTGAGAGAGCGAGAACCATCACAGCTCACACCCCCTGAATGTTACAATCATGGAGTTTTCATTTGCTCTTTTAGTTTCCTTGTGATCTTGAATAATTGATAGAAGACAGTTCCTAGACAAGAGCCACGAAGATGTTACAAGGCCAGCTAACTTAAACAATCCAAATGAACGGGGCTTGTTTCATGGCAGATGTTTATGCGCATATATCCTGCTTTCCTCCAAAAACTCCACACAAAGGATCAACATCTGGTGACCAGAGTAACTTCAGCAGTGATACAAGCAAAGCAGGAGCAAAGAAAAGGTGGAGCCTGTCATCGGCTTTGGTAGTATGCTTTTACGCAGTTATCAACTACAATCCAAAATTACATTGATTAAAGAAAGTTTAATTGTTTGCACTAGCAGAAAGAAAATCTTGTTAAAGAAATTTAAGTGAAGTTCTTTCCCGAGCTTTACAGAGGAATAAATGACCCAAGACATACACTCCTCTACCTTAGTTCTTTATGCTTACTTAATTTACACCGAATTTCTCCCTCCATGTTGCCTTTTTCATCTTTTGGGTCTCTGTGTGAGGGATGGAGTACATTATACGAAACACTTTCAGATTCAAGATCTTAGACCTGCTACTTCTAAAAAGATACTGTAATATAACACAAAACTTATAGGTTAAAACTTTGTAACACAGAAATAGCAACAGCATATATTCTTTGTTGGAAACTCCCTCTTAACTGAGGAAAACAAAGCCCCCAAACGGGCTGGAGTGGTGCAGTGCACTTATACTTGTGTTTTTCCGAGTGCCAAATCAGACGTACTTTCTGTCAAAGAAGCACAATCCAAACACGATCAAGTAATCGCACTCCTCAGTGAATAAATACCAACCTATAATGAATTGGTAGTCCACAATGGTGGGGAAAAAAAGAGAAAGAAGGGCCTAGAAATTAATGACCTCTTCTTTTCGATCTCCTTGCAGAAGGAGCTGGTAATGGGCACTCAGCCCTTACCACTGCTACAAAGTTCAGGCAGTTTTACAAACACCACGACGGCAGCTTCTTGCTGATGTTTGGGAACGCTGTTAACACACGGCTTGCAGGTTACCCCTAGCTGTATGCCGGTTTTCCGTACGCGTGTGGTTCCTGCACGTCTCTAGAAGATAGAGCATTCCTGAAAGACTTCAATAATATTTCCACATAGCAGAAGACACATTTCTCAGTTCCCTCCTTTTATATCCACTCGTTAACCAAAAGGAGTAAACGAGATGAAGTAAAGGCCGCAGGTGAGTACTGTTTCGTTAGAAAACACTTCCTCCCCTAGATCTGTTCCCAGACAGTGGCGGCTCATAGTTTTAAGCAGGGAACAAAATTAAGAAGCTTTTCCTAATTAGTTCATCTGTGCTGCATTAAATTTGTGCTGGAAGGTTCCCAACATGGTCTGCTGCAATTATTAACAATGAATAGGCATCTCATAAAATACTGACACAAATGGCTTTCTGAAGGAAAATTGGCAGGTTTGGCCACACCTCCTATAATTATAAATGTGAAAAGGTTGTCTGAGGAAAATGTTTTTTTAATGAAGGCCTCACAGTGTGCACTTCGGTTAACATACAGCAACCTGCAAATGAGGTTAACGTGAGACATCCCACCTCTGGTTGAGCTATACAGGCAGTCTGGGAAAAATCCTGCTGTCCAGACGTTCATGTCAAATAAGTTTTATGCAGATGAAGACTGGGATTCTTGCCTGCAGTAGGGAAGGATGTGACAGGACAAATGACAACAAAAGCACCAACATTCAGGTGTCAAACACAAAGAATGGCTTTAAGGGAGCCTGAGGGTACGCAGGAAGGCAGAGAGAACTCAATTCCTCTCAAGGAACAAGAGATGATAAGGCGATGATCAGACCAAGAGAACTGCATTGCCAGTCAGAATCAATGGAGCAGAAGTCCATGGTTTAATTTGCAGATAAATCCCTGCTTGCAGCGTAGCGATGCACCTAAAAGCACCAGGCAAGGGCCACATTTCCAGTTTTTCTTTTCGGTTTGTACGCAAACAACTTACAGATACTGCAAGTCTGTGAATGGAATGAGACTGTACAGACACAAGAAAACATCTCTGCCCCAAACACCATATAAAAAGATTCACAGTAGTTTCTTCTCCTCAGTATGTTCAAAAAAACTCTACCTTCACAGGTTAAAGGTAAAAAGAGACACAGCTAAAATTCACAAGTCACCGAGCTACTTACAAAATAAACTGCTCCGAAGCTTCCATGGCCAATCTCTCGGAGATCTGTGAAGAGCTTTTCTGGATCTTCTTTGAAGAAGAGCTCTGCAATTTCTGGGTCCTTCAGGCTGCCCGCTCGGCTGGTTGATGGCATCCTGCTGGGCAGTTAGCCGACCGACTATCTGGGTTTAAAGTGCTGCCTCAACCCTTGGTTCATCTGTATGAATGGAGCCTCTTCAGCATGGATTACTGCAAGAAAAAGATTGGAATCCTTCACTGATTATCCTCTTCTCAAAGAGCCAGAAACAAAGCTACAGCAGAGCAGCTTTCACTTCTTCCCCAGCAAGCATCCCTGGCGCGTGAAGCAACGCAACCTATCTGCTGGGATAATGTCACAGTCCCACTGTGACACCAGTCAAGCATTTCTACAGAACACAAACCAAACCCAAGACACAAAATGAGACACGTTCTGTGCTCCAGCATCTGCTCAGTCACCTGCAGAGAGGTCCACAGAATCTCTCTGACCCACAGCGACAACCGGGTTGTCACTAGTGAGCCCACATTCCCTTGACACCCTCCCTCTGAAGAGTTATGCACTCTATGTCTTAAAGTATTGTTTGAACTTTGTGCAGTGGACAACACAATTGCATATATATATATGTATCTCATGGTCCTTGCAAGACAAGCTATATGGTATAAGTATGATGTCTACGAACCACCACTGCCATTTGCTAATCTGTATTTACATTTTTTTAATTCAGCTCAGTATTTTTTTCTTCTGCAATTGTAGTCCAGTTAAGAAGGAGCCAGTGATCAATTTTTATTCATTTCAGCATGCACACAGAGACCTCTCTAAAGCTTCTTCTTCCACAACTCAGTCAGTCATAGGTTTTTTTCTCTTATCTAAATTTATGACCTCTATCTTAAAGCGCCTGCTCTTCAGAGCCTTATTCGCAACCCCCTTCTTTAGAGGAACAGCATCCAGGAGACACCCACTTCCACACACGACGCATGCCTTTCTACTCTGCTTAAGCAGATGCAAACATACATTTTAATTGCAATAGCACATGATACAGCCTTCTACAATAGCCCATTGGCAAACCCTTTCTTCAGAGGAACTCACAACTTCAGGTGCCATTGGGAATATACGAAACCTTTACTGCTTGCACGTGCATTTGCTTTCATTTACTCAAAGTGTGTCCTGGAATCTACCCAGAATAAAAGTATACTTTCAAGTTGTGCTGAAATCTTACTGTGCCTTTACAACAGGTGAAGCCAAACGACCATTACAAGTAAAACGCACTTTTCCACACCCCCTCCGGGATTTCCTCTCAATTCCCTTTAAATGGTCACCAATAAAAACAATTCTGCGTCACTGGCAAACAGCTAATCACACAGCTCACTTCTTTCCAAAAATCCCTGTCTGGTCAAGATTTGTGCTTTTTTAATTCATATTTCATATCTCAAATTTGTTGATGGGGGTTTTTGTGGTTTTTTTTGGTTGTTTTTTTTTTTTTTTTTTTAAGTTTTACATTTTCATAATGGCAAAAAAAAGACAATAAACCCGAGTTTAACCAACGTATCAGAAGGCCCTATTCCTGTCCATTTTTCCTACTTTTCTGGACACTATAACTCCACCTTTCTCCAAGCCTCTAGATCATCAATGAATCATTTGTTTTCCCCTCCCTGAGGAGCAATTCCTACAAGGATGGAGAAAGACATACTCCTGCCTGTTTCTGCTCAGTGGTACTCTTCTCTAGACAGTTGCACCATGTGAAAGTGCCAAAGACTGCCGGCTCCTTGTTTGTTCAACTAACTGCCAGCATCGCTGCAAGGAGAGCACGATCATCAGAGAGACAGCCAAGACGTACCTAGTTGTAAAGTCTGCAAGAGTCTCCAGTTTTTCTGATGAAGACATGCGTGGGAGAGAGAACGCAGGGAAGGGAAGCGAAATCCAGCATTTTCATAGCTTTCCTCCAAGCAGTCAGCATTCAAAAAGATTTATAATACAACCCAAAATGTGTTTCCACGATAGCCCGCTCTCAGGGGCTAAGGAAAAACCGATATTCAAATCCCAGTGGTGGACCAAGTATAAAAACATATATACGTATACACATACACAGAAAATAAGCAGCTGTTCACAACTCTGCTGTACTGCACTCGTGAGCAGGCACACACACATTTCGTATCGATGCCGGATCATTACAGGAGCCTTCAAAGCGGTCGGCATCAGCATACGAGATCCCCAGCCGCCAACGAAGCCAAGCGAGATGCACAGGAACGGGACTGCGCTATCTCCACCTTCCATTGCATAACGCAGTAACTAACACCGTGTGGGAAGGGAAATAATTAGCTTCAATTCAGCCCGTACCTGAAGCATGCTACATTTATGAAGACTGGAAGAAAAGTTGGGGGGTTCTGTTATTTTTCTTTCAAATAAGCCAACAATATTCCACTTGATTCCAGCTCTAACAAGCACATAACACTGAAAAGACAACTGTTTCACATTTACAGCCCCCGACGAAACAATAGACAAAAAGCATCAGTCAGAAAAGCGAGAGAAAGGAGCTGGGGGAAGGGAGCTGATAACCAGAGCACACTCAGTATTATTGAAGGAATGTTTCTTGGATCGACGGTAATGATGTCATGTTCCATCTTTTAAGAAGCATCAGATTCTTACAAAAAGGACATTGTTGTTCAAAAGCAACTGCTGCAATCCCAGAATGCTCTTTTAACTACATCTGTTAGTCAGAGGGGCTGGATAAACCTGCTAATATGGCCAAAAGTCACATGTCCCCGCGAGCGAGCGTGCGTGTGAGAGCCAGAGCCAGGAGAAAAGCCCTGCGCACACACAGCTGAGACGGATTACGGCCTTCTCCCCCTCCCCACCTACCCCCCACGCCAAACCAGCCACCAGACTCGTTCTTGGCATCTTTTCTGAGCGTGCCTCTCAAATGTCATCAACAGGCAACACTTTTTACCGCTGCTACGACTCCTACCAGGCTGGCTGACAATACAGGCAGAAGTGGTACGGGACTGGCTACCGCGCTGCCGGACTTCGAACAGCACATCAGAGCAGAATTCCTCATCTATTGTCATACACCTTAAAATACAGCTTTTCCCCTTTAATACCGAGAGCATCGAGAAAAATGTAATTATCTTTATTCTTGGAAATAATTGCTGCTTTGAAATGCATGAGAATAAAAACATTAAGTATTAAAACCTATTTAACAGAACAGTCACAAAAGTGTATGTGACACTATGCTTATCATTTGATCTGCTTAGATGGAACAATAAAATGCATTAATGTAAATTCCATCCATAAGAAAGCTTTACACAGTCTCACTTAATAAAGTGCTCCCATTTTTTATGGATGCTACAATATTAAATTCCCTTAGTCTTCTTTTTACCCAGACAACATGTGCTGCCTGCCAAAGCCTGACAGTGCCAGCAGCCGAGATGCTCTGCCTCCTGCCTTGCAATAATGACACCTGAGCACTTTGGGGAAATGGAAGTGAAGTTAGAAGTGGCATGCAACATGGTTATTGCATTATTTTAAATGTATTAAAAATACAGACGAGTCTTAATATTAAAAAAAAAAAAACAACAACCAAAAACCACTCTGCAACTAAACTGCACTGAAAATTAAATCATATACCAGCAGGCAGTTGGTTTTCTAAATTACAGTCAAGTTGCACTTACGTATTTCACATTCTTCCACTGATGCAGTCTCTTCTTTACTACAGGTTTTTTGGATCGGTGCAGCTCTACTGTTAAACACACTTGTTCCCAGGGGATGGGACTGATCACCTCACCTTAGGCAGCTCAGATCAGGTGGCCAGATCCCGGCTGTGGCCAAGAGCCAGGCACTGCAAACGGGATACGGCACCCTCCGACTGTGCCCGTCTCTCCGCTGGCTGAAGAATCGGTCTACCTAGAAGCCACCTTACAGGCTGCTAAAACTAGATAAAATCAATTCCATGGTTTTTTCCTAGTTGTCACTCATACAAAGAGAGGATATTGCATTGCATAAACACAACTACTGGTACTTCGATCAATTCCGCAGGTCACTGACAAGGTGATGTAGGAATATGAAAAAGACTCAAAATAAACCAGGGAATGACCAAAGCACAAGACTGGACCAACTCTACTTCCATACAGCAGGCTGAACCAACTGCGGTTAGCGGCCGCCAGTACTAGTGTAAATGACACCTACTGCAGGCCAAAATGTTTTATCAACTTACTTTCATCTGAACAACTACCTGTTCATAGAAACTGCATGCCCAGATCCACAAAATCTATGAACCAAGAAGATGTTACATCCCCTGTAATTACGGCTACATCAAACGTACACACACCCCTTGAACTACTGACATAAGGAAGCTGAAGACGAGGGCGAGGTGAGACCTGTTCTGTTCTGAGTTTTCTGCCTCCCTGCCATGTCATCTCAAGCTGAAGTAAGACCCACCCCTGTGACTAACATCCCCTGGGATCCTGCAGAGCAGAACGAGCAAAGCTCTACATGGTCAGTTGCCATATTTAAAGTGCGTATTTAAGTCTTACGCTACAGAGACCTCAGTGAAATTAAAATCCGTCCACAGTAAAATATCTGACGGCTGTCAGCGGCATAGATAACTGTTTCCATGTAATAAACCAGGGTACTAAGAAGAGAACATACTTAACCTTCCCCGCAAAGGAGAAGGGAACTACTCATTGAGATCTCCATCTATCCGTCAGGTTATTTCTCAAGCTCACACACAAACCAACTCGGCGAGGGTGACGGTGACCAGAAGGCATTAGGTTACACTAAAGAGGGGCGCATCAAAGCACCTCTAGTTCCTTAAGACAGTTCAAAAGTTTGTAGAAATGAAAATGTGACAATTAACATACAGACTTGCTTGTAGATTAGCAGCATTAAAAAGCACCGCACTTTGTCCATACAAATGAAGTTTCAAGGAATCAACATATTCAACATCCTCCAGCTTCTATACACACGAATATTACAGCCGGAGTCAAACAAATACCGTGTGTGCACAAAATGGAAACACCACACAGATTTATGCATCCGTCATCCTGTGCCTCTCTCCGTTTCACCGGGTACCAAGACACATGCTACACGGACTCCTGTGATGGCTAATGAGGCCGACAGGAATGCTCCCCACCATTATTGAATTTTAAACAAAAAATTATTTGCAATTTGAGATGTAAATCTTGTTTTATGTAATAGTCATCTGCTATACAACACACTTA